TCTATTCCTAATCCTATTCTAATAGGATTGTATAAACCTGTTCCTATTCTAATATGATTATGTAAACCTATTCCTATTCTTATAGGATTGTATAAACCTATTCATATTCTAACACTCTGCGTATAATCCATTCACCTAACTTGTTACAAATGTAATTAACACGAGGATCGATAAAGGGCTTGGTGAGATATCCGCAAGTTGATCAGTCAACTCCACAAAATTGAAGTCAATCTCAATGTGCTTGTCTTCTCATTAAATACTGGATTTGATGCCTAATGTCACTAAACATGGAGATGAATTGCAATGTTGAACTTCCCAAACCAAACCTGTAAAGATTGCTTCAAACTATAGAGTGACTCACATAATCGACATATAAGGCTACTAAACTCCCCTGAGCAACAAAGTGCTCAAAACCTAGTATAAAGTATATGGATCATGTTGGGAATAGATGGAATGACCCTATTGAAAAAGTGAAATAATATGGGCAGGGTCGGAGTGATGGCACAACCCTGATGAAAAAGAGAAATTATATTGGTAGGTTTGGAATGATGGCACAACCCTACACAAATCAGATTTAAGGAGTCACCGAAAAGATGAATGGAACTACGCAAATTAAATCTAAGGAGTCACCGAAAAGACACACTGTGCTATGCAACTCAGATATGAGAAGTAGTTCGAAAAAAACCCACGGTACTACGTAAATTAAAAATAAAAAGTATTCCGGAAAGATGCACAGTGCTACGCAAATTAGATATGAGAAAATAATCACCACAATGATACACGGTGACCCAACTTTTGCTAACATAATCATTAGCCAGACGGACGACATATATGGATAATTGCCGACCGCCGGCAGCGGAAGTTCTTTGATTGTTTACCAAGATTGTAGAGGCTCAATATAGGAAAAAAATAGTATTGAATTGTTGTAGTATCTACATTGTTACATAAAGATCCTATTTATAGACCCTACAATACAATCTTTTACCAAGTAGGATACTATTTAGGATTCATTGTATTTCTATTCCTACTCATATTCTAATAGGATTGGATAAACCTATTCCTATTCTAATAGGATTGTGTAAACCTATTTCTATTCATATAGGATTGTATAAATCTATTCATATTCTAACAGGGTCGAACTATACACATTGAACGGTTCAGACCTTAGTATGGGGATAAGACTTGTTTTCTAATACAGCTTCAACTTTCATGCTGTGCCATTTCAATACTAGTTGATACGTTGTATCTATGAATATCTGGATATATACTGATAAAACATATATTTGTGAGTTGTGTCAATGTAGACGTAGTAGCATTGTGGAGGGAGTAGTCTCAGAATCTCAAAGAGAAAAGCGAGATGCATACATCGGAAGCGACTATGAAAGCAAAGAAGGGGCAAGGATTTTAAGGATACTTGAGAGAGCTGCAGAACCAGAAGTTCTGATGGCAGAGATGACTTCAGAGCAGTTGAACTTATTTTCATCCTATCAAGCGAAGTTGGAGGTACGTTCATTTCCACCTGCTTTAGCTGTAGGAGGCTAGTCATGATCCCCTTTTTTGTCATTTTCAGGCATTCAGGCAGTCTGACATGCAAAAATCTCTTGAAAAAGCTTTGCAAACTGCTGGACTTGCTGAAAGAGACGTCACTCCGTTTATGCGAGTTAGAGTTGTTGGATTGACTAGCAAACGTACATCATTGAAGTGCTGTCCAAAGGAAGGCTTGATTACAATATGGAATCCTACGGAGAAACAGGTACGAAATTGGGGTTTAATGTCCTCTGATTTTGCACTGAGATATGTTTCTAAAACCTTGTATCCTTTCATTGTGCCAATATGTTTCTCAAAATTGTACTTTATATCATCTCTAACTGATTTGTTGTATAGCACTGTGGGCTTGCAGAGGGTCAAGCTTTTTCTGTTACTGGTCTTACACCGATAAGCTCAGACTCTAGCACCCTTTACTTGCAAACGAAAGGGTCCACATCCAAATGGCTGCCTTTGTCTCCTCGGGCAGTTGAACATTTTGAGTAAGTATCTGCTATTTTCATTCTTTTACTGCACAAATTTATACATCTGATACCTGATCCTGCAGGAGCTCTTTCTGTCCTCGCCAATCAATTTCATTGAGTAAATTGGGTGAAGTTCCTATTTCCAGGTCGGTCTTGGTGGGAATATCTTAAAGTCAATACTTGTGCTTTCGAAGCGAGAAACTTCTTTTTTACTTATTTTGTTGCTTGGTTTTACTCAGGGAGTTCGATATTGCTGCGGTGGTTGTTTTTGTGGGGCAGCTGTATGCAGAAGCTCATCAAACAAAGCAGTGGGTATTTGTGGCTGATGGATCCAAAGCTATGTTGGATTCTGATGACGAATTAGAAACCTTGATGGCCATCAGTTTCACCTCACCACACATAGGAACTGATTCATTTGCTCCAATAAATTCCAACCTTGTAGAATCTACGGTAAGCATGGATTTAACTACTAGTGTATGTGGTTTTCCTCATAGCTACCATTACTGAAACCCCTGATTTTCTGGAAGCTATTTATTGTGCCTTCAGAAAAATCCTCTTCTATACAGCCATACAGGATATGTTGATATACCATTAACTTCAACTCTAACAAATAGGTGTGGTGCTGAAAAGCATCTGGGGCGGGGTTCTTAGTACTGCAAATATTATAAGCTGTCAGTTTTTCTCTTATGGTCTTTGTATGTATTCCATCCTAAAGATTATGTCATTGAGGCTCCCCGGTATTCCTGATTATTGAATTTAAAGGGTTGTACTGTAAAGTAAAACTCAAATGTCGATGATGTCTGGTGTTTCTCTTATTTGTACCCAGCTGAAATAATGAAGTTTTTGCAGGTTTGTTTTTGCAATGTCATCAAAAGAGCAAGAGATATTGTTAATAACCTGTGGGTAGCTGAAGCAACTGAAAATTCAACTTATTATTTAAATTATGATCATTCAGATTGTTCTCATCTAAAAGATGCGGGTGCTTCTGCTGAAAGATGGGCAAAGATATCTGGTTTGGTATGTATGCTGGAATTAGGTCAGGGTATTACATATTAGCTGCATTTTTTCAAACTAGTATTTTTCTTTTATGCAGAGACTTGAAAAGCTTAGGGGAAGAGTTTTATCTATAATTAGCTGATGTGGAACTTAAGCAGGGAAAGGCCGGTAACAATTTGTCACTCCAGCTAAAGAAGACAATTGAGATGCACACATAAAATGGGAGTCCATGAGTTCCTATCACTAAATCAAACCGTACGTGTTGTGTTTTAATGAAATTGTCTTCAACAATTAACATGTTATGTTATTTTTGGTTTTGGTCATCATCCCAGCATCAATCCGTCCCTACATATCATGTGTTTAGATCCAATTTGATGGTTTTGAGGACCTAGCTACATTTACTTAAAATGTCAACTTTCTTCTAGTCCCAATCATGAAGTTTTTTTTTTTTACACTGGCAACATAAACCCAACCATCAAGGTTTAATAACTTTACGTAACAAACTGGGTCCAATGTTGCAGGTCATGCTCTTCACCGGCAAAAAGGTAGAATTGAATTTGTCATGTGGTCAAGGACACATGTATTGGTTTGACTTTGATTAGATCTGTTCATAACTAATCTGAATGTTGACGTGAAACAATTCAAATTGGCTCATCCAATGTACACGTTTTGTTAGATGTTACAAATTTATGTGGTGTTACATCCTCCCCTTAGGAACTATTGTCTTCAATCAAAAGGGTATGGTCAATTTTTTCTCAGTGCACGACTATATCACAAGTACTAACCAAGTCACATCCTCCCAAAAGGATGATGTTTTACTCTAAAGAAATATATCAATCAATCTATCATCACGAAAATTCATTCATCACTTTGAGACATGGCTACTCAGACTTTACAATATATGGCCACTTAGATTTTACCATGTATGCTAGTCGGACTTTACCACACAAACATCTCATCAATATACCCAACCAAAATCACCCCTAAGAAAGTCATAACTCTGTCTAGGATTGGGCATGGTCACTCAACAACTCCATATCAAAGTAAAAGCAAAGAAGTCGTAAATCAAAATAAATAACAAGAAACAAGAAACGAAAACAAAATGACTAATTCCAAAAATCTCAACAAAAGCATATGACACACATAAAATCAATGCCGGAGAAGGCCATGCAAATCCTAAACGAGTCCAACAAGGACACAATCAGAAAAACCAACAACAAAGTAGAGTAGAAATCCGTAGAAATCCCAACATCAGTCATATAAAATAAAGTATCCTATGGAAAGCTTATGCTTAGCGTGACCAATGACACTAACCAATGCTTTGAGTGTTACAATTGTTGATAGTTTAGTAACCCAACCAAAGGTTGGGGTTGTGTCCCAAGGAAGCGGTTTCAAGAAGATGTAGTCAATTCAAATTTCATTCTAAATAGTCGTCGCTAGAAAGATTAACGAATAAAAACATGGTCAATTAAAAAGGGTGACACCAAAGTGTCAAATATCAATTGAGGTTTTTTTTCACTAGTAAATTTGGTAAACATGCACTGAAATCCAAGTATGGAGAGAAGTTCTTGGGGTGTGACTGCAATATAAGTTGAGATAAATCATTGGGTACATGCTTTCGATAGGAAATTTGCAAGATAATAGTGACTAGGCTAAGCTTTAGATGGAAATAAATTCTCTCTCGGGCAAATTACCCCGTTTCAAATGTACTCCTCTCGCACACCCATTTGCCGCATGAAGGTCAGCCTACGTCTTATCTCACTCACTCATTCAAGCTGAGTGTACGAGACTCGGGCTCACCCTTTCGGGCTGAACCTCATGTCAACCAGCTCCTTAGGCCATCGGTCTAGAGGTCTTGCTTTCACGAGCTCCCTCTCGAAAAAATCAAAAACACATGGGTTAATTTGTATTTGCAACTACAAACCCATTAACTAAACCATAACCACTGGATGAAATCACCACTAAAATACATCTAACCTATCAGCAAGCAAGACCCAACAATAATATCACTAATATTTTCTAAATCACACCCCAAGAATGGGGTTTTTAGCCACACATCAAGCAATAACAAAATACACCTACAATGATACTAAAATCATTGGGTATAAGAAATTAAACCTTGATTTAAGCAAAGGAAGAAGAATGGATAAGACCCACTTCCAACTTAGGGAAGATGAAATCCTTCTTTCTTCAAGTCTCCTAAAAACCCTCTCCAAACTTGAGAGAAAATAAAAGGAAAAATAATATCTTAAAGTGTAAATTATGATAATGTTTGGATTCTTTAAAAATAATAACAAAGGCTAGATAGTCGAGATCGCTGAATGACTCGGATATTCTCCCTTCTTCTATTTCGTCGTTGTTTTGTGCCTACCTTCAACATCTTTATGTTCTAAACCATTGGGCGGTATAACATTGTTTCGCAAAGTTGTTCAGCGAAGCGTCGACTGCTCCTTTCATCGCCTTTTTTATCCTCTTCCTTCATGGCTTCGCATGCTTGAATAAAGAGAGGAGTATGTACCTTCGTTGACTTGCCAAGTGTACTTGGCGATGCTCATGCTTTACTTTCTTTGCTCTATTTAGCCTTTTTGTTCCTTTTTGCGTAAGTGTCCATGCTTGCAGTGGCGGAGCCAAGATTTTTGCCAAGGGTATTCATATTTTAAGACAAGTAAAAAAATAAGCCACGATATTTGTTCAAACTCATTGAACTCCAAACTGAAATAGTAATCAAATATACTAAACTTATTAAAAAATCATCCACAATATACCAAATAGTTGAGATGCTCAAATAAATAAAGTAGCTTTTAACATAAAAATAAAGATATTCAAAGCTTTCAACACATGATTAGAAAAAACAAAACTAAAGGAAAAAAAATTAAGAAGTACCTTTTTCACAAATCACACTTCAATGGCAGTTGAGGAAGAAATATACAATGATTAAAGCTTCCAATTTCTTAAAACTTGCAAGTATGTATGAAAATAGAGAAGAGAGAAAGGTAAAGACTAAAGTTATAAAGAGTTTTTGAGAAAAGAAGAAGACAACAAACTAAAAGGAAAAGAGAACTATGAATTTTTATACCAAATAGTTGAGATGCTCAAATAAATAAAGTAGCTTTTAACATAAAAATAAAGATGTTCAAAGCTTTCAACACATGATTAGAAAAAATAAAACTAAAGGAAAAAAAATTAAGAAGTACCTTTTTCACAAATCACACTTCAATGGCAGTTGAGGAAGAAATATACAATGATTAAAGCTTCCAATTTCTTAAAACTTGCAAATATGTATGAAAATAGAGAAGAGAGAAAGGTAAAGACTAAAGTTGTAAAGAGTTTTTGAGAAAAGAAGAAGACAACAAACAAAAAGGAAAAGAGAACTATGAA